ATCAAAATTTTCAGGTGACAGATGTGAGTGTTGTGAATTTTGATCGGAATTCTAGGTATTGAAATAAAATATCACAAGTATTCAGTTTGCTAAATCCATCAAAATAAAAGAAAAAAATGTCATTTCAGAGCTAATTTTACAATTTTTTGCCTTGTTTTGTTAAAATTTACCTAGTTTTGTAACTTATTTCTTCAATTTCATCTGAATTTCAGTTATTTTCACGGCGAAAAATGCTTTAAATTTTTAAAAACGGTCAAAAATAATGCATGTTTAGATCTAATTTTGCAATTTTCCTCTTTCTTGAGGCAAAGAAATGCTCAAAAGATGCAGAAATGACGCATTTCTAATTTTATAATTTTCTGCTTTATTTGTTCGAATTTTTTGTGTTTTTTGTTGAAAAACACTCATAAACTTACAGAAGATAATACATTTTTTAAATAAATTTCACAATTTTTTACCTTTCACAAAATTCCTGAAGAATCAAAATTTTCAGGTAACTTATTGGATGATGTGAGTGTTGTGAATTTCGACCGGAATTGTCGGTATTAAAATAAAATATCACAAGTTTTCTAAAATGTTTGCGTCAATTTGCTAAATCCATCAAAATAAGAGAAAAAAAATGTCATTTCAGGGCTATTTTGCAATTTTTTGCCTTGTTTTGTTAATTTTGTAACTTATTTCTTCAATTTCAGTTATTTTCTCGGTGAAAAATCCTTTAATTTTTAAAAACGGGAAAAAATAATGCGTTTTTAGATCTAATTTTGCAATTTTCCACTTTGTTGAGGCAAAGAAATGCTCAAAAGAAGCAAAAATGACGCATTTCTAAATCTAATTTTATAATTTTCTGCTTTATTTGTTCGAATTTTTTGTGTTTTTTGTTGAAAAACACTCATAAACTTACAGAAAATAATACATTTTTTAAATAAATTTCACAATTTTTTTACCTTTTACAAAATTCCTGAAAAATCAAAATTTTCAGGTAACATATTGGTTGATGTGAGTTGTGAATTTCGATCTGAATTGTTGGTATTGAAATAAAATATTACAAGTATTCTAAAATGTTTGCGTCAATTTGCTAAATCCATCAAAATAAGAAAAAAAATGTCATTTTAGAACTAATTTTGCAATTTTTTGCCTTCTTTTGTTAGAATTTACTAAATTTTGTAACTTATTTCTTTAATTTCACCTTAATTTCAGTTATTTTCTCGAATAAAAATGCTTTAAATTTTTAAAAACTGGCAAAAATAATGCATTTCCAGATCAAATTTTGCAATTTTCTCCTTTAGTGAGGCAAAGAAATGCTTAAAACAAGCAAAATTGACGCATTTCTAAATCTAATTTTGTAATTATCTGCTTTATTTGTTCGAATTTTTGGTGTTTTTTGTTGAAAAACACTCATAAACTTACAGAAAATAATACATTTTTTAAATAAATTTTACAATTTTCAACTTTTCACAAAATGTGAGTTGTGAATTTCGATCTGAATTGTCGGTATTGATGAATATAAAAAATTAATAGAATACATATTACAAGTATTCTAAAATATTTGCGTCAATTTGTTAAATCCATCAAAATAAAAAAAAATGTCATTTTAAAGATAATTTTGCAATTTTTTGCCTTCTTTTGTTAGAATTTACTAAATTTTGTAACTTATTTCTTCAATTTCACCTTAATTTCAGTTTTTTTTTCGGGGAAAAATGCTTTAATTTTTAAAAACGGGCAAAAATAATGCATTTTTAGAACTAATTTTGCAATTTTCCCCTTTGTTGAGGCAAAGAAATGCTCAAAAGAAGCAAAAATTACGTATTTCTAAATCAAA